AAAGAAACCTATAAATGTGATCATGTCTTGAATCACTGCAAATCGAATGTCGTTGATGAAGTCAAGAAACTTACGCAGGACCGAGGTGCTGATATCGTCTATGACGCCACATATTTGTCGTCAAGCTTCGAGAAATCTATTCAATGTACAGCTGAAAATGGTGGTACTTGGATTGTCTTGGGTGATTTTGCTCGTCAAGGTAGTGTCGAAGCAGAAGCAGTTAAAAAACGGCACGCTAAATTAATTCATGCTGGTCTTTCTAAATATACATTTAACCCGGAATATGAATCAAAAGCAAAAGATTTCTTTCAACAAGGATTGAAAAAAGCAGCTGATTGGATTGTTAGTGGACAGTTGAAACCGCATATTAGCGAAATAGTTCAACTTGAAGAAGTACCACAGGCATTAGAAAAATTGAAAAAAAGACAAACAGGCCCTGGAAAGATGGTAGCTAAAATACATTAATTCACTGAGTACTTTTTTAACTTTGTTACAGTAGTATTTAGTTGCTCTCATCGATAAACAAGAGAAGAATTAGTCCTTGAAAAGCTATCTTTTAGTCTAAATTATGCACGAATCTCATTCACAATAGTGAGCATGGATTCGATCCCCATTCCTAGCACACTTTTTTCTTCTTATTTTCTTTCAGTCGACTGATGCGTACATCTATCTAGTCCGAGTACTTTCGTTTTCTCCGAATTTTTACGTTGAAAAATCATCGAGATTTTCACAAAAACAAATGAACTGAAAATTCCGAAATACACCTCACTCGACTCAGTTTTCCATCCTGATCCCGAACATGATATTTACATTAGACGGAAGTTGAGTTCTGATTCAGAAAATCAAAAATTACGAGCAGAATTCGCACTTTTGGAACCACACTTAACTTAGCAAAAAAACAATTTTCTCCACACTAAACACGAATTTCAAAAACAGCGATCCACACTTTTATTGTACGTCACAAGGCAAATCGCATGGCGTATGAACCTTGGCTTCACGTGTCAACTAAACAGCTGTAATAGGTTTGAAAGACGGGGACCTCGAAACCGAAGACATCTAGATATTCATCCTCTCTACATACTCACCGTCTCTGC